TGGCCATGAGATTTCGTGAGAATCTGCCTGCAAGTGCTTGGCTCGATTGGTGCCCTATCGGCACAGCTTGGCCAGAACCTCTGAGGCTGCGGGAGCAGGGCTTGCAGGCTCAATTGGGATGTGCATCTGTCTGCACATGGATGGACAGATGGACGGCCACTTGCTGGGCTTGTAAATGCATTTCCAAGTCCCCCTGCCCCGTCCCTCCCCACCCCTCCCCTGGAAATGGTGCTTGGTGGGTCGAGGTCTGAAGTTGCTGCTATCATGTGAACCAAGCGTCCTTAGCTCTCCTGACCTGGGGCCCGCTCTCGAGGGGTCACCTTGCGGAGGGTGTGAGCTTCTGGGTTATTAGGGTACAGAGCCAGCATCTTTATTGTCCGGGAGGTGTCAATAAAAGAGCTAAAGTGAGCTCAACGGAGTCCACGTGGAAACCGTCAGTGCATTAAGCAATGAAAATTATGCTGTCAGCAATACGGTTCCCAGTCATTGCCCAGGACGTAAATAGTGTAGGGACAGCAAAGCTAATGGGGAGAAAGAGATTAAAGAATGTCCTTGCAGAGGGAAAGACTTTACTTTTTATAACGCACCATAATGATGAAATTAAGATGCCTCCGAGAGAAATAATTCTCCCACCTATAATTTGGAAACACTTCTGAGGCCAGCTCTCCCCAGTGTCCCTGTCACCCCTGCAGAAGCTGGGCTCTGAGGAAAGGATATTAATGCCTCCAGCCCCAGGGCCCGTCCAGTGCACAGCGGACAGACGCCCCTCCACTCACCCACAGCCTGTCTGAGGGGAGCCGGCCCTGAGGTCCGAGCCGAGGGTCCGCCACAGACTGGCAGCCTGAGCAGACGCCTTCCTGCACCGTCTTCTGCTGCCCCAGATGAAGCTGAGCCCAGGCAGACTCGACCTCCCCTGTCCTGGGCGTCAGCCTGGGCATCTTCCCTCTGTCACTGTGCAGCTGAGTCTCTTCTGTTTTCTGACGGTGTCACTGCCCTGCAAGGACCTGTTCATGGCCTGAGGCCACCACCCATGCCCAGGCCTGCCCTTCAGAGCCACCCCCCGCCCCATCCCACTGGTTCCTGCGCCTGCCTCCAGCCCTCACCACAGCCACGTCTTGTGCCTCGTCCTGATGGTGTGCATGAGGCGGGGGCCTCAGGAGAGGTGGCCGTCGGAGAGCCCTGGAGCCAGGCCCCCTAGGAAAGTGGGCTCTGACGTGTGTTTGGGGGGTCCAGGGGTCTCCTAGCGTTGAAGCTGTCACCCTCCAGCCTCAGCCGCGACTTTCTGTGTGAAAGGACGAAAGGTGGGTGCTGGGGGCCGGGGCTCCATCTGAGTGGGGCAGAGCCAGAGGGACGCTGGGGAGGAGGGTGCAGGAAGCCAGGCTGGGCAGGGGTCTGCAGTGGGGGTCCGCTGCAGGGACACGCAGGCCATGCCCCACCCTCCGCCTTTCCTGTGTGCTCGAGGATTTCAGGGTCTTCTGGGGCTGTTGCCCCTTGTGGGGCTCCATACTTGCTACAGACAGGGCCCAACCTCAGCCCCAGTTCGAAGCTCTTGTGCAGGTAGAAAAGTTTTCCCTCCTCTTGCTGTTCAGAAGCAGGTCCTCAGCTTTGCTGGGCCAAGCACTGGCGTGTCTCTGGCCAAGCCCTACCCTGGGAGCCCAGTGGCTTTTGGTGGGAGACGCCCTAAGCCTGAAGCGTTGGCCTGGCAGACCCTGTGGTGGACCCGACAAGGGGGCCGGGGCATCAGGGGTTGTGGACCCCAAAGCCCACCCACCACGCAGCCCGTGTGCACACCGCTCTGTCCGCTGCCGGCCCGGCCCTGCCCCCGCCCACTGGCCGCTCACCTGGGCCTTCCCCTGCACCAACCCACCTTAGCCACGAAAGCCGCACTTCAGAAAAGCCGCCTGGAAGACTCTTCCCAATCCTTGTTCATTACTCTTGCACAGCCTTTCTTTTCTTTGTTTTTCTGGAAAAAAACCTCTTCCTCCACAGCTGGAGGACACGGGTGTCATTGTCCCGGTGACTGTCGGCGCGTGGAGCGAGGCTGTGCTGAGTTTGCGGATGTCCTCCTCGGGCCCCCTCCACCCGGGTACCAGCCCTTCCTGCTCCTGGACAGCCACCAGGAGGTAGGCACCCAGGCCAGGGTGGGGACACCCATATTGCTCAGCCCCACTCGCTGCCGACACATCAGCCATACACCCACTGCCCACCCCACTGCCCCCAACACCCAGGCCACGTGCCTCGGGGTGCTCGGAGTGGAGGTCCCGGGACAGGCCCCCTCTAAGCCTCTCCCTCTCCCCTCCCCTGCCCGGTCCCTCCAGAAGGCAGACAGCCGGTGCCCTGGGAGGACGACGCCCACCCCGCAGGCACCGCCAAGAGGGAGCAGGTAGGAGAGGCCAACCCCACCGACAGGCTCTGGCCCCCACCAGCTGAGCTGCAGATGGGACCGTGGGCACCCACCCACCCCTGTGAATCTGCACCTCCCAGGTGCTCGTATTCATGGGCAGGGGCCACACAGGACACCACGGGCAAGGAGTCTGCCCGGGGATTGCAAACCTGCCCCCAGCCCCCGTTCTGCAGCCTGGAGAACAGAGAAGAGCCGGGGGGCAGGCTCGCTTCAGGGGATGGGGGTAGCTGGGGCGCAGCTCCCCCTGTATCCCCTCAGCAACTTGCCCAGACAGGCTTGGGGCAGGCAGGGCAGGAGTGTTCTGTGTCCTGCAGCCCCTCACAGCAGACCCTGCTCCCTAGAGCCCCCAGGTGGAGCCCAGTGGAGGTGGGAGAGGCCGTGAGTCTCCCCAGGGGAGGGCGGCCAGAGCCAGGGATTCAAATGGGGGTGTCAAGGAGGCCTGCGGGGCTCTGAGAGCCTGCAGACACCACGTCAGGTGCCAAAGCTGGCCCTGTTTTCCAGAAGAGGAAACTGAGGCACAGGGACTTGGAGTTGAACAACAGTTCACCCAAAGCAGGTTTGGATTTCTGTTTGACACGTTAGGGGAGGGCTGTGTGTCACACCGTGAGGAGACACCCTGTTGCTGCTGCTGGCAGCACGCTCCTTCCCACATGAGGACCTAAAGCCTGGTCCCATCGACCAGCTAGGACGAAGAGAACTTAGGCGGGACCGGCCCTCACCTCCCATCACCCTCCCAGAGCCCCAGGAGCCAGCCCCCCGAGCTGGAGAGGACGTGGCGGGTCCCTCCAAGAGCGGCCAATACCCAGCCCTCACCTGCGCACCTGCGCACCGGCCCACAGGCCAGCGCTGTCTCTTTCTCCTTTGATGGGACTATTGACTGAGAGATATGGGCCCTCCCGCGACAGAGCGAGCCCTGGGGCCTGGGCACAGTGCCGTCGGTGGCAGTGGGCACTGGGAGAACAGCAGCCTGAGATGGCCAGAGAAGTGTTTGGGGGCACGAGAGAGGTCACTAGCGCCAGGTCCCTGACCCACGAGGCCCGTCAGTGTTCTGCCCGGTCCAGCATCAGGAGCCCGGGGAGCATGTGGCAGACACCTGTGGCTGCCGGCTCGGCACGATGACACAGCCACACCCCAAGCGCGGCCGGGGGCTGCGGACCCGACCGTGAGATTCTGCGAAAAGAGCTGAGCAGCAGCTGCCGGCGGTGTGTGTGGGACGGGACGGGGCGCAGGGCTGGCGCGCTGACAAGCCTTCGGTCCCCACAAGCCGCGTGGGGACAAGCCGTTTCCAGCGGGAGCTGCCCCCTCTCCGTGTTGCTCTGAGTCAGGGTTTGTGAATTAAATATGAGGCTCGCTCTGCGCAGTAATGTGAGAAGCGCAGACTTAAAAAAACAGAAAAGAACAAAAGCCCAGATCCTGCGAGCGTGGAAACCCCACCCGCCCGCGTTTCATCCCAGGAACGTGCGCGACAGCCAAACGCCGGGGCACGCCCAGCCGCACGCGCCGGGCCTGTGACCGCGGTGACCCAGCAGCCACGGCGCGGGGGGAGCCTACTCAGCGCAGGGGACCTTCACATCTGTTCCCTCCTGAGGAAACGGAGGGGGCTTGCGTGGGCTCAGGGTGACCGTCCTCAGGCTAGGCTGACTGCAGTCCCAGGAGGAGACGGCCGTGGAATCAGAGTTCACGGTTTTAAAATGACCCACGGCCGCTTCCCCACCTCGTTCCCCCCGCGTCTGAGGTGTCAGGGCTGTGGGTGTTCCTCAGGGCCCCGCGGCTGCCAGGCAGGGCCCCGTCCTGGTCTGGGGTGGACGCCTGAGGCCGAGGCCCATTCTCCCCGGGAGCTGCGTCTCTCCGTGCAGCTGGGATGGTATTTTCCAGATACAGAAACCCTGGAGAGAGGTTTTTAATCGTGAACGAAGCTCACGCTTCCCCCGGGGAGGGGACCCAGCTGTGGAGGGGAAAGGGCCCTGGGGCGCCACGGGTTGAAGAGACGCATCTGAGTCTTCACGGCAAACCTGGCTTCGGCTGGTGCCCTTGCCCAGGCCCAGAGCCCTCCTTCCCGTTGGGCTCTCGCAGCCACGAGGCCTCCCACCTGCTGACACCCCCATGCCCAGATGCTGTCAGCCATCACTGACGGGACATTGGCCTCAAGACTGTACCACAGCCTCCCCAGCTCTGTCCTCCCGGAGGGTCCTCCAACCCACGTGGGTGTCTGTGGGGCCACCCCCACCTGAGAAGAGTGTGGGGGACCCTCCTGAGGCTCCCCCAGCGCTTCGTGCCAGCTCTGCAGTCGGGAAAGGCCTGAGGTCCTCGGGGCCCCCCACTCTGGTTTGGGGACTGACTCCCTGCGCCAGTGTCCAAACCTGGCTCTGGCTTCACCCAAAGAATCCACCTTTTGAAATTCTGAGAAAACCATCCTTCCTACAACCAAGCCTGCCTCTAGCAAACCAAAGGCGCTTGGACTTTGAGACGGCTGCATCTGGTTTTCATTTACGAAATCCCTGCAGAGTCATGGCGTGTGATTCCAGGCCGTCCCACCCCCCGCCCCTGGCAGGGCACAGGCAGAGGGCTCGCTGCCTGCCAGCAGGGCCACGCAGGGCTGAGGATGAGGGCCCTGGCACTCCTGGGAAGCCCACCTGGCCGCCGGCTCCAGGTTAGGGACCCAAGTGGGAGTGCAGCCGGTGGGCTCTCAGGGGTCCTCAGGACTCAAACCACAGCAGCAGGGACTTGAGCTGGGACTCTGTCATTAGACCCCCTGGGTCTGAGAGCTCCCCGTTCCCGCTGCCTCGCCACCCCCGTCACACAGGGTGTGGAGTCGTGACTGACCACTCCATTGTGCACGTGCCGCGACCCCTGTCCTGGACGATCCAGACTCATGGCAGAACTCGAGCCCCCACGCCACCCTGCCACCTCTCCTCCCGCCCTGGGCCCTGTGAGCACCACCAGGGCTGTGCCCCAGCACGCTGCACTTTCTACCTGCAATTTTCCTGCAACGCCCGTACCCCTCTCCCAACACATGACTATCTCCCCCGCTCCTTCCTAAGGACCCTGCGATGCCAGCTGGCAGTCTCAGCTTCCCGGCTCTGCTGGGACCCCCAGAAGCTCCGGTCGCCATCACTGGGGACCCCCTTTCCGTAATGGGGAACGGCACCCCCTTGGGAGGTGGGCCTGCTAGGCCTGACCCAGCCGCTGGGCCTGCCTGGGTCACCTGCAGGCTTCCCGAAGCTGGTGGGCACAGAGGCCACAGGCCTGTCCCCGTCCAGTCTGTCTGGCCGGCCCTGACCCTGCCAGATCGGCCAACACAGCCCGCAGCACAGGCCGTAATCACGCGTTTGTCTGCTGCTTCTTTCCTCATGGTCTGACTTGCCAGTTGCAGAGTGAGCTCCTTGGAGGGAGGGAGGGGACGTGGGGGACTGGCCAGAGGTGGTGACCAGAAGAAGCGTGAAGGCTCAGAGCAACCAGCAGGGGCCAGCTAAAGACGGGGCCCAGGCCCAAAACCAGCCCAGGGACGCAGCCCTGAGGCCATCCAAGAAACCACCCGGCGTGCCTCCTGCCCCTCTCCCTCTCGCTTCCTGACGACGCCCAAGCTGTCACCCCGGTGGCGTGCTCACGCCGGTCTCGGGATGTGTCTCTGACTTCACCGAAGATGCCAAGACTCGTGGCCGCTGATCACAACTGCTACAAACGCATCTCCTGGCTGTTCGGAATCTCGGGCCAACTGGCGAGTCCTTGGCTGCACGGATGAGGTTTCCAAGGTGCCCATGACGTGGTCGGCCAGAGTGTGACAGCTCCCACGTCCAGACGCCTGACGCCCCGACGCCTCCCACCTGGCCTGCAGTGGGGCCAGATGTGGGCACCGCCTGCGGAGGAGCGGGAGGTTCTCCCTGTTCCCAGTGGCCCGAGCCTGGGCTGTCAGACACGAGTCAGCCCTCCTGTGGCCACATGTCCTAAGTGGCCAATGAGGGCAGGCTGTGGCCTGTGCAGTATTCAGCATCAGGACTGAGAGCTCCCGGTCTGCAGGGGACGGCGAAATCACCAGGTGGGGTGAAGGTCAGGGGGGGAGGAGCAGTGAAGTTCAGGGGCCGCTGAACCACCTGGGGTGTCCTGGGCATGGACCAAGAGCCGGCAGCATCTCCCCAACTGCAGGTGTCCGTGAGTGGCGGTCAGGCATGGCCAGGCTGTGGCTGTGGGGCGCGGCCACGCTGAGATTGCGGCTCTGGAGCACTCGCCTCTCCCCAACCCCAGGTGGCTCCGCAGACAGGGGCCACCCTCCATTGCCAGGGGCCCTCCTGCTCCTGGGTCACCTGCTGTGCCCTGGGCTGGTGGCACCAGGGCCAGAGCAAACCGCGCTTCCTGCCTTTGCCACACCAGCGGCCCCTCGTTGTCCAGGAGGCTTCAAACAGAAGACGTGGCTGAGCAAGGGGCCCCTCCGCCTCGACAACGACGAGGAGCCGCGCTGTGATTCCGGAGGGCCGGCGAGTGCAGTGAGCAGAGCACTTCAATTCACACAAGACGGTGCTCGGCCGAGGCCACGTGCCTTTGTCACAGCTTTCAAGCGTAATTGTGGACTATCTTCTTTGACTAAGAAAAATGACCTCTGTGCTCCCTAAAACAGGCATTTCAGTGGAGGAAATGCAGGCAAAGAGTCCCACAAATGCTGAGCGCGGCTTCATGGGCAGAGGCTGGGGTCGCCCTCGAAGAGCCCCGCCTCACACCACCCCCGGCAGTCACACTCTGACCGTTTGAACTCGAGTCCGTGCAAAGCCCACCAGGGCCTGGTCACCCGTGTGCAGGGCACCCCCCAGGAGGAAGCTGCAGCCAGGGCCGCCCCTGGGAGGAGCCCGTCCCACCCCCTGCCACACCGAGCAGAGTCCAAGCTCACTCTGGGCCATGGGTGGGGGACGTGGCACTGTCACACGAGTGACTCCTTCACCACCCCCAGCATCCGGTCCTGGAGTCACCCCGTGTCATGAGTCTACCCTAACGCTGGAGCCACGGCCTGCGCGAGGGGGCGACAGAATGCAGACGGGCGGCCTCCGTGTGGGTGGCGGGCGCCGAGCAGACGTGAGGGCCCCGCACGTGCTGGCTTCCCGGGGAGCCCCGCGTTCCCGTGCGGGCCCCCCGCTGCATTCCTGCGGAGACATTCCAGGCACGTCACGGAATTTCACATCGCGACATAGAGCCCTGCAAGTTCCTGAGAGATGCGAAGCTGTCAGCTGCAAACGATGGACACGGGGAATAAACGGGGCTGTGAATGCGTCCAGCCACATGTGAAAATCCCGTAGCACAGGGGCCCCTAGTTACGTTTACCCCAGAATTCCTAACTGTGTCTGGGAAGGAAGGCGCAGCGGCGACCAGCCCGCCCGCCCGGACACGATCCGACCCGCCTGGTGCCGCACGCGGGACGCTTGTGGCTGTGACCTTGGCGTCACTGCTCGCGGCGGGCGGCTCTCCGCAGAGGACCAGCTCGCCAGAGCCTGACCCTCGCTGGGGGCTGCCAGGGCCCCTCCTCCTTCCTCGGCTCAGAGAAAAATGGGTTTAATTAAGACTTCCGTGATTAGTCATTTAATCAGTCATTAGGCCGACACAGATGGAGTCAATTAATTTTTTTTACTTGAAAAGATGGTCGCTGCCTGCCAGGCCGCGCTGCCCCCTCCAAGCGCTGGGCCCCGTGACCCCTGTGCAGCTAACGGTGGAGGCAGCAGCGCCGGGCGCGCCCCCTCAACTCCCCAAGCCTGAGTGACACGGGACGAC